CCTTGTTTAATAATTCTGTGCAACACTAAGCACCAACTGTATTTGGACTACATAAATTTAAGAAAAAACAGAGTTGGTAGTGACTGTTTCTTTCCCTGACGTTGGTTTTTGATTTTAGCATAGGATGTAAATCGTAGGTCGCCATCGATGTTTATTGTCATAGATGCCGTCCTGAAAAAACCTTACGTACTTGGATGATTGTTGAGCATTTCAAATTTGATGAAAGCGTGGATTTTGTGTTTCTTAATAATAAGTCTTCTTTTTTTTTTTGTCTGTTGCTTCGATCCTAAGTCAAGCAAGTTGTTAATAATTAGCCCAAATGACGTCCACAGTGTTTTATAGAACAAGTCAAAATTGGAGCTACAATTTTCTATTGAGGTGGTTACCATTGTTGTTAATCTTTCCTGCCACTCCACCAAATTAAAGATCTTCTTGTGCTTCATGAGTTTCTCTATGTAAAAATTTCTATGTACCTAGTTGGACCATACAAGTTCTGCCACACAAGCATCCAAGTCCTCGCATATACGTAATTGTTGGACATACCACGTTTGAAAGCAAAAATTTACAATATTGACTGTGTATCGTGTCAATATATTTATAATATAAAATAGGGCGGTCTTAAATAAGTTCATTCGATGGTCTTAAATAGACTCATCCAATAGTCATCAATATTTTTCTTAAAATTATTTACATTGTGTCATACTTTAGGCACGAATTACCCTTAGTTATACAACAAATTATGATTTCATAAGTTTAAAGTCATGACTTAACAAAATCCAAAAAAAAAAGGGATCATTTTGGGTAAATCTTTAATTCCATGCTTTTGAATTGTAACTTACTTATTCGAAACCAAACTTGATTTTATTTCTATCAATATTTTCCGTGTCATACTTAGAGGGAAAGGTCATGGTATCACTCTTTTGTTATAATTTTTAAGGGCAAATTCCAGTTTACCCCCTCGTGATTTGTGCTTTGAACAGTGACCCTCCCTATCATTTGGAAATAAGCACATCACCCCCTGTAGTTATGGACTTATCTGTAACTATTAGGTTTTTCGTCAGAATAGACGGAAGTGGAGAGGACGCGTTGATTTGGCGATTGATCAACAAAGTTATCAACTTCACTTCAAAATAAATATACCCAAATGTCAAAAATGACCCTATGTTAACAGATGTTATACTCNTATAGAAAGTTGGGATCGATATCGAGAGTTCATGATTGATTATGGGTGTTTGTAATTGATCATAACATTTTGTTGAATAATTATAATTTTTTATTTTAAAGTTATAATTTTACCATAAAAAATAATAACTAGTAATTCTACAAAAAAAAAAAAAAANATCAACTTCACTTCAAAATAAATATACCCAAATGTCAAAAATGACCCTATGTTAACAGATGTTATACTCCTCGGCCTTCCACAAACTAATCCTCATGGCTTCCAAACCCCGACGCCTCTGTCAATGTAATCTCTCTCTCTCTCTCTCTCTCTCTCTCTCTCTCTCTCTCTCTCTCTCTCTTTTTGAGTCAACCTTACAAAGCGCAGCAAAGAAGCCAAGAATAATGATCAGTGACCACTGAGTCCTCTTCCATGAAAGACGTTTTCTCCAAATGCGCTGACTACCTTAATAACCTCTTAAAACCTACTCACCATTTAATTTTCATATATTCACACTCAGTGTTGGGTATGAGTTTCTATCGGATGCTTCGAATGCAAAATTGCAAATGGTTTTCAAATAGGTTTTGAGATAAGTGTTGAGCTGTTAATTGCAAAAAGAACTTTTGCTACAAGGCATCATCCACAATTCTGTGATAAGGTAAGCTTGTTTTCATATTCAATAACAATTTCCAAAAGTTTCTTTAGTGGCTGTGGTATAAAGTGAAAGAAAATCAAAACTCTTGTTTAAGCTTGAAACTTAAATTTTTGAGTATTCAAAATTTCGAGTTTCGGAGGTGAAGGAGATCCTAATCCACCATTTTTAGGGTCAAGGAATCCATTTTTGAAGTTAAAATCGAGAAAGAATAAGGTTTGATGGGTGAAAATTTGAATTAAAAATCGTGACAATTTTTTAGAATGATGAATCCGTCACTTTGGAGCTCGATTTCTACTTACCATGCGCTTGATGTGGACAAACTAAATACATGGTTGGAAAGAGGGTAGAAATAGGTTAAATTTAGGCATTTGAATCGCCCAAAAAAGTTGAGAAACGGGGGAGAAATTAAGGGTCAAAGTTGGCCCAAATGTTGAAAAAAAATCTGGTATGTACATAACCTGTCAAAATGAGTTTGTAATCACCTTTGAGTTTAAATTCGTGGGTCATGAGGGCTATTTAAGGAAACAAGTCTGTTGGGTTTAAAACTAGGTTTAGAGTGGAGGATATTGACATTGGTTTGAGGAAGTTTGGTGCTTTGTGGAGAGAGAAAAAAAACTTATAAAATTGCATGGTTGGTTGATTTTTCAAAAAATTAGGCAACAATTGAAAGAGAGGAAAAAAATGATGAATAGTTGAGGGTACTAAAGTCATTTTATCACTTCTGTTTACGGTGTTAATTGTGCATATCGGTCCAAAAGCATAAGGGGGTAATGTGTTGATTTTCAAATTATTGGGGGGTCATGTGCAAAACACCCAAACTATAAGGGGATAAACTGAATTTTGCCCATTTTTTAAAGTTATATGTTAAAATTTTAAAGAACATGATCGATTGTAGAAAGTTGGGATCGATATCGAGAGTTCATGATTGATTATGGGTGTTTGTAATCGATCATAACATTTTGTTGAATAATTATAATTTTTTATTTTAAAGTTATAATTTTACCATAAAAAATAATAACTAGTAATTCTACAAAAAAAAAAAAAAAAATCCCCATTCGGTACGGTATACTTTCCCCATTCTAGAAGGTTAGTACAGTAGACATCCCCATGTGCAGATCTGATTCCAAAAGTATACCCAACTTGCTCTACCAATTCAAATTGAAATAGTTTGAAATTTGAAATCCAAAGATAAAGCATGTGCAGCCAATTCAACGAACACTTTGGTAATTTTGTAGGGGAGTGTGTGTTTTCTATTCCTTTCCAGGGGACAATAGTATTTTATATATGTCTCTTTTTAGTTGATGGGTCAATTCAATTGGCTAATCCTATCAATGACTTTAGGGCATGTTTGGTATATAAAATTGGATGGAATGGAATGTATGGGTGAATTTTGTTAAAAAATAGATCAATATCTTTTATACTTGTGTTTGGTTTAAAATTTGAGNGGTTTTCAAATAGGTTTTGAGATAAGTGTTGAGCTGTTAATTGCAAAAAGAACTTTTGCTACAAGGCATCATCCACAATTCTGTGATAAGGTAAGCTTGTTTTCATATTCAATAACAATTTCCAAAAGTTTCTTTAGTGGCTGTGGTATAAAGTGAAAGAAAATCAAAACTCTTGTTTAAGCTTGAAACTTAAATTTTTGAGTATTCAAAATTTCGAGTTTCGGAGGTGAAGGAGATCCTAATCCACCATTTTTAGGGTCAAGGAATCCATTTTTGAAGTTAAAATCGAGAAAGAATAAGGTTTGATGGGTGAAAATTTGAATTAAAAATCGTGACAATTTTTTAGAATGATGAATCCGTCACTTTGGAGCTCGATTTCTACTTACCATGCGCTTGATGTGGACAAACTAAATACATGGTTGGAAAGAGGGTAGAAATAGGTTAAATTTAGGCATTTGAATCGCCCAAAAAAGTTGAGAAACGGGGGAGAAATTAAGGGTCAAAGTTGGCCCAAATGTTGAAAAAAAATCTGGTATGTACATAACCTGTCAAAATGAGTTTGTAATCACCTTTGAGTTTAAATTCGTGGGTCATGAGGGCTATTTAAGGAAACAAGTCTGTTGGGTTTAAAACTAGGTTTAGAGTGGAGGATATTGACATTGGTTTGAGGAAGTTTGGTGCTTTGTGGAGAGAGAAAAAAAACTTATAAAATTGCATGGTTGGTTGATTTTTCAAAAAATTAGGCAACAATTGAAAGAGAGGAAAAAAATGATGAATAGTTGAGGGTACTAAAGTCATTTTATCACTTCTGTTTACGGTGTTAATTGTGCATATCGGTCCAAAAGCATAAGGGGGTAATGTGTTGATTTTCAAATTATTGGGGGGTCATGTGCAAAACACCCAAACTATAAGGGGATAAACTGAATTTTGCCCATTTTTTAAAGTTATATGTTAAAATTTTAAAGAACATGATCGATTATAGAAAGTTGGGATCGATATCGAGAGTTCATGATTGATTATGGGTGTTTGTAATTGATCATAACATTTTGTTGAATAATTATAATTTTTTATTTTAAAGTTATAATTTTACCATAAAAAATAATAACTAGTAATTCTACAAAAAAAAAAAAAAAAATCCCCATTCGGTACGGTATACTTTCCCCATTCTAGAAGGTTAGTACAGTAGACATCCCCATGTGCAGATCTGATTCCAAAAGTATACCCAACTTGCTCTACCAATTCAAATTGAAATAGTTTGAAATTTGAAATTTGAAATCCAAAGATAAAGCATGTGCAGCCAATTCAACGAACACTTTGGTAATTTTGTAGGGGAGTGTGTGTTTTCTATTCCTTTCCAGGGGACAATAGTATTTTATATATGTCTCTTTTTAGTTGATGGGTCAATTCAATTGGCTAATCCTATCAATGACTTTAGGGCATGTTTGGTATATAAAATTGGATGGAATGGAATGTATGGGTGAATTTTGTTAAAAAATAGATCAATATCTTTTATACTTGTGTTTGGTTTAAAATTTGAGCGAATCCCGCCCACTCTCTGTCAGTGGTGAATAGTTCATGGAAGGTGAATTTAAAAAGTTAAAGATTGGATTTCAAGACAAAAAAAATATTTTATCCAAAAATTCATTCTTCTTTTCATTTAATAATAAATATTTTAGTAAATTGAATAATATAATTTGATATAAATCCATAAACCCCACATATAATAAAAAAAAATTTCAATCTCATATACAAATCCTTGGAGTTGAGTTTGAAAAAATTCCATAAATCTAATCCAAACATGCCTTTAAAAGTATAAAGTCATGTAAATCCACCACAGAAAGAGACGTCAAGATAAAAAATTCTAAACATCATCGTCATATTCCACACAAAGAAAAAGAATATAATAAATTCATTATTTATTCACATCAAAACATAAATGCGTATAATCCAATGAAATAATCCGTGAATATAATAAAAGCTAAAACACAACTATGGGTATCCCAAATTCAAACCCAAACCCAAAAAATAAGAGAAATACCCATAATCATGTATTATGTATATCTGCTAATATAAATAAAACAAAAATAAAAATAAAAAAAAGACCAATCAAAGAACAAGAAGATCTGCCGATCAGAAAATCAACATCCGAGTCTGTAGTTTCGAAACTACCAATCGAGTTTACACTTGGTAGCCTCAAAGCTACCAGAAGATCCGCCATTAGAGTCCAGAGGAACCTTCAAATCACACTCAATCTTGGGCTTGAACTTGGGACTTTTAAACACACTAACCTTAAACCTAATTCGAAGATAAAGCTTCATATCAATACTAAAAGTCCCAGATGATTTCTCTTCATTAAATTTCGAAGCCTCTTTGTTTCCAAGCAAAACCAAATTCTGCCCTTTAAACACGGCATTCAAAGTAGTGGTATTCTTGTGACCCTGATAGAATCGGGTCAGTTGGATGCTATCAAATCTCTGACCTTCATAGAAAACCCTAGCTTCGATACTGTCGTAGTATATGCCGATGCGCTTATTAGGGTTTCTGACAGTCATGTTGAGGGCGAGATTGAAGTTGAGATTGTTGGTGTTGGTGTTGGTGTTGGTGAAGTTGAACTCGGTGAGAGCAGCGTCGGTGACTTGGAACTTGACCTTGTTGGGTCGGAGGGTGAGCCAAAGGACGAGTATTATGACGCCGACGACGATGACGAAGGTGAGAATGATTTGGAAGATGCAATTGAAGATACAGCTACAGAGGCAGCCACAGCAGCAGGTGAGTGGGTTGCATCCGTCACCGCGGCCGGGGCGGTGGTAGGTTTTCGGTGGTGGTGGGGGGATCGATGGGCCGTAATAGGCTCCATTCAAGTGTGGCTGTTGTGCACCACCCATTGTGAAGAGAGAGAGAGAGAGAGAGAGAGGATTTGTGAATGATAAAGGAAGTGGGTATTGGAGGATTATGTATTTGTGGATATATATAGAGAGAGAAAGGGTTGGGGGTCTCTCTCTCTAAGCTTGTGTTGGAGTGGGAATGGTGGAATTGGTTAACAAAGTAGATAGGGAATTGTGATAGAACATAGTAGGAATAGGACACGGCATCTACCAGGTAAGGCCATGTATTCCTCACGCGGTTGCGTTGGGGGACTACTGAGGTGATGTTTATTGGAGGTTATTGCCCGGTAACTTCCAAGGGCATTGACTTTTCTATGGAAAGGTGTTGCCCTTTTTTTTATAAAAATTATTATCTTCGTAATGTAATGTTATTGTACTTAATTTATTTACTTAATTTATTATTATATTTAAATTAAGTATAGACTCCATAAAAAATTAGAATTNCGTAATGTAATGTTATTGTACTTAATTTATTATTATATTTAAATTAAGTATAGACTCCATAAAAAATTAGAATTTGGTGTTATTTTAATAAAATCACATCATTAATTCAGCATATTAGATATTTTTAAATCCAAATAACATTACTCTTTTAAAAAATCTAAAAAAAATGGATGAATTATAATTTATACCTTGAAAGATTTCAAAATTCTCACTTCATACTCTCAAAGATTAATTTTTTCTCAATGTATCAAAAGTATTGTAATGTGACTCTTATGTTATTTTTTCATTAGTTTTTTCGTCGGTATGAATGAGTTGAAGGTATAAAATGAGAATATTAAAATCTTTTAAGGTACAAAGTGCAAAAACTTCAAAAAACAAAATTAAAATTAAGAGTTATTACAAATTACCTCATANATAATTTATACCTTGAAAAATTTCAAGATTCTCACTTCATACTCTCAAAAATTAATTTTTTTATATTACATCCTTAATGTATCAAAAGTATTGTAATGTGACTCTTATGTTATTTTTTTATTAGTTTTTTCGTCGGTATGAATGAGTTGAAGGTATAAAATGAGAATATTAAAATCTTTTAAGGTACAAAATGCAAAAACTTCAAAAAACAAAATTAAAATTAAGAGTTATTACAAATTACCTCATATAATTTTGGGTCATATTGCAATTAGGTCAATTTCAATAAATTACCCCTTTAAAGTCCAAAACAGATTTCAACGAGACCAGCATTAATTTTGGGCTATTCAAAGTGAACGAAATTAATCACGTACAAGTTATGTGATGGTACAACCATTGAAAAGACTAAATTACCCTTGATTAAAAAAAAACCAAAAGAAGAGCCATCCAAGGGTTAAGAGAGAGCCCCAAAGTCAAGTTCAACTAACCTTTTTGTTTTAAAATTTATGTCTAGTCGACTAAGTTAAACTCTATTCATTGTATTTTTCATTTTAAACGTATGTATTTTTTAGATAATAATTTAACGATGGTATGAGATTTCTTTTTTAAAAGTTTTCGAATGATGGAGTTCTTGAGGGAGGGATTAGAAATTGCATGTTGTTTTTGAATTTTAAATCCGTATTTGACGCAAATTAAAGCTTATATTATATCAATTTTTTTAAAACAGATTTGCAACAAAGTTTTCCTTCAAACTAATTACAATAATTGCATCATCCGGTTTGCAATTCTATTAAAGCAGAAAAGAAGAGAATCCATTGAGCATACACAAGGGTTTGTGTCTTTTTTTCATATAAACTGCTTTACTGCTTTACCGCTTTACCATCTTTGTAAAAGATTTTTATGCACTTTAACTCTTCTTTTCTTTTTCCATCTTTAGAGTTGTGGAGGATTTCATAAAGTGTAAAAAATCCCAAAAAAAAAAAAANACTGCTTTACCATCTTTGTAAAAGATTTTTTTGCACTTTAACTCTTCTTTTCTTTTTCCATCTTTAGAGTTGTGGAGGATTTCATAAAGTGTAAAAAATCCCAAAAAAAAAAAAAAAAACCGTATCTAATAGTAACAAAGATTCATCTTCCAATATAAAAGCAAAAGGCAAGGATTCCAATGATAAAGTGAGAACAAAATTCATTTTTTTTTTTAGTTTAACAATCAAGAGTATCTGAGCTAGTTTACTCGTCCTTCGATTAATCTTTTTAACTAGCTCGTACTTCGATTAATCTCTTTTACGGTCCAATCAAAGACAAGTCATCCCCGCCAGTACGAAAGTATTTAGAAGAGATAAATTTCTCATAACTTGAACCCAAAAGAATTTTCAAAATTCGAATTTAAGACGTCTGAATTTACAATTCATTCCTATTATCACACACTTATCACGTCTGAGCTTATGGCTTGAATTATGTGAGAAATGCATGCATAACCCACCTTCCTAATTTCCCCCTACCGCCGAGGGCCTAACCCTCATTGAAAGCTGGACTATGGTGTGAAAATACTGGCCCTAATAGACTAATTGTCCTGGTTATGTAGTTAGACTAAGATTGTCAAAACCTGAAGTACAAAATACTTCTTTATGATTCAAGTTTTGGGACAAAAAGGAGCCCAAAAGACACCAGACATATGACCGTGTAAAATGAACAGCCTGATCATTCTGATAGGATTACAATTTGGGCCTAGCCCAGCCCAGCCCAGCCCATATCATCCACTTTCAAGCCTATGGTCTTGTTCCCACTAAGCCCCCCATCTTAACTTTTTCTGTCGAGCCCACTTTAACAATTCGACAAGCAAAGAAGAAACAAAAAGAAATGCAAATAAAGCAAGAATAAGCATGTGGAATCTATAATATAAAATAGAGTAAGTTTTAATAAGTTTATTCGACGGTCTCAAATAGACTTATTCAATAACTACTAACATGCCTCTCAAAACCATTTTTATTGCATCGTGATTTCATACACGAGTTACTCCTAATAGATTCATAAGGAGAGAGACATAAGAGTTTACACCATATTTTGATAGGGATTACTCTCCTAGATAGAAAGGAAAACGCTATTTAGACTTAATTTTAGGACTTAATAAGAAAACTTAATTCAATACAACTATTAGGTTAAAATTGAATTTCATCTAACATTGAAAGTTACAATTAATTCAATGACTCAACTGAATTAAATTCACAAATTAAGTCCCTATAATATTGCTAGAAAATAAAAATTTATAAATGACCAATTAGAATAGGTTTTAGTGTGAATGGATTATCTTTGACCGGACCAAAGAGAGAATCAATCGTGGTGCCCGTAAACTGATCTAAACACTTTTGATCGTTGAACTAAAACAAAATTAGAAAAATGGCTTTTCCAATCCTCATACACCAACCACAAGCAACAAGCACCCTTACACTTAAATTCGATTCAAGTTTAAAAAAATGCAATATTAGAGCTCGTTTGATAACGTTTACGATTTTTGATTTTCTAAAAAACGAAAAACATAATCATAAAATAAAAAACGTCATTTTCTCGTTTTTGAAAATCGCACCTCGTTTATAAAACGATGACAGAAAAAAAAAACGGTTATCAAACGAGTTTTTTTTTCTTATTTTCTCTAAATATCAAAATAAAAACGAAAAACATAAACGTTACCAAACGGGACCTTAGTTGCTTTTTTTCTTTTCTTTTCTTGTTTCCCTTTTATAAAGCTTCATAGAAGACAACAAAACAGTGGAAGTAAAGTGAACCTAGTGATTCGGGATCTTAGTTTAGGAGGACAAAGTATAATTATAAATATTAAATAAAACAAATTTACGCGCCTAAAAACATAAGATGATGTTTTAAATGTAGGCAAATATCATAGGAATTAAATTATATGATGCTTACCTACTAATATATGTTTAATGTAACATTTAGCCCACATAAGTATCTTGGGAGAAAACAAGAAAAGATGCAATTACATAATGGTTTTTACAAATGAACAATCTTACGCTTGCTAAACTTTAACCCAAATTTTCTTATTAAATCAATATAGTAGTTGGATTAATTCTACTAAACATCCAATGACCATTACCATGCCACATCATTTAGTATTCAATTTTTACTAAATGTATTTGTATTTACAACATTATTCTTTACTCAAATTAGTTTAAGTAACGCCTGCCCACTATGTTTCCACCTCTANCCTGAAGTACAAAATACTTCTTTATCATAATGATTCAAGTTTTGGGACAAAAAGGAGCCCAAAAGACACCAAACATATGACCGTGTAAAATGAACAGCCTGATCATTCTGATAGGATTACAATTTGGGCCTAGCCCAGCCCAGCCCAGCCCATATCATCCACTTTCAAGCCTATGGTCTTGTTCCCACTAAGCCCCCCATCTTAACTTTTTCTGTCGAGCCCACTTTAACAATTCGACAAGCAAAGAAGAAACAAAAAGAAATGCAAATAAAGCAAGAATAAGCATGTGGAATCTATAATATAAAATAGAGTAAGTTTTAATAAGTTTATTCGACGGTCTCAAATAGACTTATTCAATAACTACTAACATGCCTCTCAAAACCATTTTTATTGCATCGTGATTTCATACACGAGTTACTCCTAATAGATTCATAAGGAGAGAGACATAAGAGTTTACACCATATTTTGATAGGGATTACTCTCCTAGATGGAAAGGAAAACGCTATTTAGACTTAATTTTGGGATTTAATAAGAAAACTTAATTCAATACAACTATTAGATTAAAATTGAATTTCATCTAACATTGAAAGTTACAATTAATTCAATGACTCAACTGAATTAAATTCACAAATTAAATCCCTATAATATTGCTAGAAAATAAAAATTTATAAATGACCAATTAAAATAGGTTTTAGTGTGAATGGATTATCTTTGACCGGACCGAAAAGAGAATCAATCGTGGTGCTCGTAAACTGATCTAAACACTTTTGATCGTTAAACTAAAACAAAATTAGAAAAATGACTTTTCCAATCCTCATACACCAACCACAAGCAACAAGCACCCTTACACTTAAATTCGATTCAAGTTTAAAAAAAATGCAATATTAGAGCTCGTTTGATAACGTTTACGATTTTTGATTTTCTAAAAAACTAAAAACATAATTATAAAATAAAAAACGTCTTTTTCTCGTTTTTGAAAATCGCATCTCGTTTATAAAACGATGACAGAAAAAAAAACGGTTATCAAACGAGTTTTTTTTTCTTATTTT